CTCCACATGTAAATAAATAGCCTGTTTGAGATTGACCTTTATGTGGGTCAGACAAATATCCTGCATCTACATAACCTATCAGTTGTGACGTAGATTCATTTGAATAAAATAATCCCATATCAATGGTCCCTCGCAGATATCTGAATAGATGCTTAATACCATTCCAGTGTCTTTGTGTTGGGGAAGAACTAAATCTTGCTAACATGCTTACAGAAAAAGCTATATCTGGTCTAGAATTATTAGCAATAATATCGTCGATGAGTGCTACATTATATCAATAATATCGTCGATGATCATTTTATATCGGTTCCATCATCACTCAATAAAGACATAACTTATCGAGATCTCATTATTTTCAGGTACCTGAGCCTCTCTTATGAGGTCTTTATAAAGTGTTATGTCGTCGTGCTCTTATAGAGCATTCGCCTCCTTATTATGGTCATTTTGATCATTTGCTCCTCTCCTTCTTCAAGGAGTTTTATTTTTAAAACCGATTGGTCTATTATGCTTCATGTGTGCCATAGACTCTATCCTTCATGGACTTTATCCCTTTTTTTTTGGAGCACTAGCAGCTGAAATATGATATTTAGCTTCGGGTCAACAAATGTGCCTAGCAATATTTTGCAAATGAATTATCACTTGAACTTCAAGTTCATATTTTCTTGTGTGAGGATCTAGATGTACTCATAATAATTCATTTCATGTAATGTTTTTTCATCTGCCCATTTTCTCCCCCTAATATTGGATCACCAAGACATATCCCCATCATTCTTTAGGGACTCATCTTTATGCGTTATGGTGGAGCAATTAAATCATATAACACATTCATATTTCTAGATGAAGTTTATTTGGTTCCTGACCCTGAACCAATTGTGATGGTAAAAAATTTATCAATAATTTGTTGGCTAGATGCGTACAAGTGCTGCTATATATTAATTAATACATCTCATACCAAATTTTTTTTTTTGGGGAGTTTTGTTCTAATAACCAATTGGTTAGCTATAGTTGGAGGCATATAATTTCTGCTAAACCAACTTGGATTTAAACCAGTATTATCAAGATAAATCATCATAATTTACGTTCTGGAATTGTGCTCTAATAATTTGAGCAAGCAACCTTGCAAAAACCAAATTGCAAGTTGATAACAAACGCACATGTGACTATATAATAGATGCATCTATTAAAATCATATAATAGTAAATAGTCCACATGGCAAGTGACTGTGCCCATATATATATATATATCACCTTTTATTCGTTCCAGAAATCAAGGGATTCAGTCCCTACCTTAGCTGGTATATCATGGGAATAAGCAGCACAAGAGAATTCTTGAAGAATCTTCTATTTTTTCAATATATGTCAATGTGAATTATCAATCACTTGCGCATCATAATTGAACCGGGATGGCCTACCAGTCATGCCAACTAATATTTGTTTCAGTAAACCTCGAGTTTATGTGATTGCATCATCATATTTATACTTGTGTAGTACAAATAGAAGGAAAGTCGGACAACCTTTTATATTTATCCGGTATGATTATAGTAATATGAATATATTCAACCTTCCTTTCATTTATAGTCTCAATATGCCAACCACTTTGGCTTATACATTTGAAACTCAAAAAGTTTCTTTTGAGACTTACTACAATATCAATGTCATGAATAATTTTATTCATCTGGGTAATAATAAATTAGTTCCTCCGGAGCTCTTAATCGATTTTGTACTACAAGATCTTTTGTCACACCATTCATATGGTGAATGTCTCTTTCACAAAGAAAGTTATATTATAATAAAGTATCATGGTCAAAGTCATCATAAGCAAAATTATTTCTTGCTTGAATTTTGCGTTTAATAACCTTTTATAAGGCACGTCAATATATATTTTTGACGTACCACATGCACGCGACCAATGACATATTCATGTAACCACACAATAATATTCATTATCTTTCTTTCTCTTAAACCTCCCTTAAAGGTGAGTTGTGGTATGTATCCAACACGTCTTTGTTCATTACACACATATTGCTACATTCACCTTCAGGAATGAGTCTGCATTCTAAATGTTTATCACAAGTCACATTTACTTCAGGGAATGAAGTATAATCATTGCGACGTGATTTATTATTTTTCATACCAATTTGATGGTAGACATTGCCTTTACCTTTTGAAGGATATATTGAGAACCCTTATTGTTCTCATTTTTATAATTACTACCATGATGACGATTATTACTTCGTTTCTTGCCACGACCACACCAATTCATATGGCCACGATAATTATATTGTATTTTTCAAAATCATCATCAATATGATACATAGGGAACCAATGTCTTACCTTCATAAATGCATATTATGCCTTAATCATCCGGACTCGAACCCTCTTATTATTACGGTGCACATGAACTTGATGCATTATTCTCAGAGTGTCGTGGGACTTACCCCCAACCATTTATAAAAATATCAATTATCACTCTTGTGGTCATAAGCAAAAACAAAATTAGTTATAAGAATATAATCACTTCTGCTAGTCATGTATATCATGAAACTGAATATAGTTCAAGTATATCTTCTAATACAAATAATTAACTATTGGTTGATAAATTTTAGGTACTGGTAAACCATCAGCAAAGTAGTAACAACCATGTAGAAATTCGTTAAGAGATCATTATGATTCATTGACAAATAAATCGTATAACTAAGCATTCACATCAGCCAGCTACTATTTATCCTCCCATCTTCCAAATAAAATGAATCTTAAAATTCTCTTCTTTAAATGAGAGAGCCATCTTCAGAATTATTAGTATATTTATAGGCTTTAAATTTGCAGCAAATAACTTGTAATAAATTATGATGGTATCTGACAAATATTATGCATAAATAAAATTTTACCGGAGAACTCTAAGTGTTTTCATAATATATTAGTAGCAAGTTAAATTTTCATGACAAGTGAGAAACATATGCATGTCCAGTACTTATTGAATGAACCAAAACACTTGATCAAGTCATTTCATTTACACATAAATATATCCTTCTAAAAAAGTATTATATCTGAATATAAATGTAAAAAAAATTGGTTAAATAAAATTACTAAGGTCATCTTCAGTTAAGAGGAGTTAACGAGTATTTCTACCAATTAAAAATCATGGCAAATTTTTTCTCTAACCAAATGCTTACTGATATACATGTGAATAATGAATTACTATATAATTATTTTATGTCTATTAATTTCTTTTCTGTGATGACATAACAACTACTATAAGAACTTGAATTAATATAAAATATGTAACATGTATTAAGACATACCTGGAGGATATATGAAAATAAACCTTAAAATGGTAATGGAAAGGATTAGAGCCTCGTGCTGATAACGTGTTATAAAATAAAAGCAATATAGCAAGAACTATGTAATTAACTAGGACTAATAATAGAAGAGAATGACAACATTAGAAGAGAGGATTTATTTCTTCGTTTCTGAGTATGGAATAGGTTGATCAGTGAACCTATTTATAGAAATATTTTGTTGTTACAAAACCAATCCAAAACCTGTTATGAATACATAACCAATCTAAAATCTGTTTTGGATACATAACCAACCTAAAACCTGTTATGGATACATAACCAATCTAAAACTGTTATGGAAGACATCCATCGTTACAAGTGGATGAAACCATTTGCGGGATTTATAACAGAATTAAGTTTCTTCCCTAATGATCTAATATTGAAAGAAAGAAAGTGAAACACGGGAGAGCATACAGAAAAAACGGAAGAACGGAATTGTAGGGAAGAGATTAATTTATTTATCCTTCCTTGTATTGATCAACAAAATAAATGAAAGGAGTATAATTATTTAATAGTTAGACTATAATCATAAAGTAAAAGAAATATTTAATGATTTAAATGATCTAAATCAAATATATTTTGAACATTACAATTTTTTTATAGTTCGGAACAAAATATTTTAATATTATTTTATTATTATTATCCGCCCTTATTTACATTATCGATCCCTTACTTTCTATTCCAAAGTAAAGAGCAAAAGTTTGTCAATCCAATTCATTTTTTTTTTCAATTCTAACCCCCCCCCCCCTCCCCCTCTACGATAATTCAAAGCCTCTTATTATTATGCTTTGCCATCTAAAAAAATTTTTAAGAAAGAAATCATTCCCTGCAATATCAGAAAATATATTTTTCAAGAAATTTGGTGAATGACTTTAATTCTCTGAAATAAAAGATTAGACAATTATCATAAAAATATTTAATGTTAATGATTTAAATGATCAAATATATTTTGGACATTACAAAACTTTTAAAGTTCGAAACAAATATTTTAATATTCTTTGTCTTACTACTATCCGCTCTTACTTTACATTATCCCTTACTTTTTATTCCAAAAAACTCAAGTAATAAATTTCCTCATTCCTATTATTTTTTTTTTATTCTAACCTCTCTCGAGACAGTAATTCAAAACCTCTTATTATTATGTTAATACTCAAAGTCATTTATTTTTTTCAAGAAATTTGGTGAATGACTTTAACAGCTTGTTTGGATGGTTGTCGCGCATCGTTTCATAATGTATTGTATCGTATTGTATTATACTTTATCATTTAATAAATACAATGTTTGGATAGAATGTGTCGTTTGCAATCGTTTCATGATAACATGCACCAACAATATAAAGAATAAACTTGTAATATTATAAAGAAAAATTATGATACGAAGTAAAATTACTATATATAAAATTTAGGATAAATGATAAAATAAAATTATTTAATAGTAATAAAGGGTGAGATTGAGAGAAAAAAATAAGGTAAAGTAACACATTTCGTTGTTATGTAACGACGAATATCAAAACAAATATCGTATTTAAAGTAATAATACGATACGGTATATACAATGGGTAACAACCATCCAAACAAGCTGTAACTCTCTAACTAGTAGTAGTAGAAGTAGTATAATCTTAAAAAAGAAAAATCAACAAATTCAGTTTAGTTAGAAGGTTGGCGAAGTCAACTACCACCACGCGTAAACTTCACTTGTTGTCCCTCAGACTCGGTCACTCTCAGCTCCACACATTGTGACACTCCATTACTCCTCCTTCCCCCAACCTACAAAGGGCCAATAACCACCGTCCTGGGCGGTCGCCGCCGTTAACCATCTATCTTGTTCCCCGGAAAACCAGCTAAATAATGTTGAGAGACGTGTCAGCTTGCAATACATACAATTACGGGGACGCCCTTTATTGGGATGCACGGTATTTACAAGAAGCAGGGTGTGGTTCCTTTGATTGGTATCAGCGTTACTCTGCTCTCCGCCCTTTTGTTCGAAATTATGTTCCTGCATCCTCTAGGATCCTCATGGTTGGCTGTGGCAATGCTGGTAATACTTATATTTGAGCTTAAACTTTGCATTTTTTTCATTTGTGTTCTTGTTTTAATGTTTTATTATTTGAATTGCTTTGATTTGTACCCGGGTATGTGATTCTTGAAGAAAAATTATCTCTATTTCGTTCCCCCTTTTTGGGGTTCTCTGGTTTCAGCTCAAGCTTTGCAGGTTTTTTGTTTTGATCATTATTTCAATTTGACCCCGATATAAAGATTTTTCCTTCTTGACGTGAGCTTAGAACTGGCTTGAATTTTTTGATTAACTTGCTTTGTTTCTTAGCCAGATATGTGATTCTTGAAGAAATTTATCTCAACTGGCTCTCTTTTTGGGATTCTCTATTTTGAGCTTAGGCTTTGGATTTGCTTTTTTATTATTTTGTTGTAATTTTTTATTTCTAGCTTTGTTTCTTACCTTGTTATGTGGTTTTTGAAGAACTTCATCTCAATTTGATCCCCATGTCGATATTTCCTCGTTAACTGCGAGCTTAGGATTTACATTTTCTCACTTCATCCCTTGGTTTGCTTTGATCTCTACCTGGTATGTGATGCTTGTAGGAATTCTTGAAGAAATGTATATTACTTGGCCCCTGCTTTTGAGATTCTCGTGTTTAATTAAGAATTAGAATTTTGCATCTTTTGCTCAGGGTTATACCTGGTTAATTTTGTTTATGTTTGGTCTTCTGATGCTTCAACAAATTCTTGAAGAGGGTTGTTAATTTTAGTTTTTAATTTTGGATCGGAAGTTGTTTAACCAAAAATATATCTTTTGGTCAAAGTCTAATTTTAGAAGAAAACGGGTTACTAATAACCAAGTTTTGCTTCACTTTCTCAACGGTATCAAAGGAAAATAACAAGAATAACTTAAGAAATAATTGATTGCAAAGTCAAGATAGAGAATTTCGAGAAAGCAGAAAAGTAATGTGTATATTTCAATATTATCTCAAATGTGTCCTTACAAATAGAATTCTGTGCCCTTATATATATGAATATACAATAGTAACGGTTCCCCCCATAATTTGGGCTAATTATGGGCATTAATGATATTGATTACCCATTATTTTAGATTCTCATAATTGACGCATTTATTGCTATAAATGCCTTGTATTTTTTCCGATTCCCCTTCCTTATTTCCTTCTGGTCCATGTATCTTTCCTTCTTTTTACTATTTATTCATTCCTTGCCAGCTGTTTGGCCCGGTACCGTCTCGTGGATATTTTTTCCCGTGCCTTTTCTTTTTCTATCAAATAAGATTGCCACGTGTCGCTGTATTATTGTTCCACGCGTTATGCCATGTCAGCAGTCTAATATTCCACATATAGTTCTTTTTCACCACCAATACAGATAGTCCCCCACTTTCTTGAATATTCTCTACTGAATATTCGGGGAAGTGGAAAGTTTTTTATGGCGGGAATTCTCTGCCGCCGTTTTTTCGAATATAATCATACCCTTTTCTGAACCTATGTGACGTCCATCCATTTAATGATCATGCCACGTGGCTTTATCAACTGGTCCTTCAGTTCTTCAGCGTCTTTTAGGGTTTTCCTGCAACCGTAGTCACAAAGTGACGGTTGCATTATGATGCTTCCTAATGACCTCAATAGTCGTGTCTTTTTATAAATACGTCACCCTTTTTTTCCGATTTTCTAAAGCCTTTCCTTCTTCTTCTTGTCTTACTTCTTTCTGCATCTTTTCCTTGTGTTTCTTTGGTTAATCATGTCTTCCCCCGATCCTCGCAAAGTCGTCATTGTCGATGAATTTGCTTCCTCCAATGTACCTACTAGAAGTAGAAGAGGTGGTAGATTGCGTAGCCTCGGTTCTATTTCTAACCCTGGTTCCCCTCTCAAAGTAATGCTGCCAATCCGTCTTCTTCTGGACCTAGGGCTTCTGCAACCCCTAGATTTTCTTCTAAAGATAAAGATTCAACTGAAGCTCTACGTGAACCCACTGTTGATGAAATTGTTCCTCAAGAGCTATCCTTTATGACTGATAGTGAAACCATGAAGACTCAAGTTTCTTCCATGGCTGCTTCCCTTGATCGTGTTGATCGTTACCCAACTCTGAATACCACTGGTCTTCTCGCTCTGGTTCAAAGAGAATGTAATTGGAAACCTGACTTCGCAATTTCGGTTCCTGGTACCAACCAAAGAATAACTTCATAGCAAACTGGCTATTCCTTCGTTTATACATATCCTTTTACCCTAGGCTTTAAACCTCCTATTGACCCGGTAATCATTGAGTTCTGTCATTACTTCAATGTGTATTTAGGACAGATTGGTCCTATTGTTTGGAGAGCTGTTGCATGCCTCCGTTATTTGTCAAACTTGGCTTCTATGCCTTTTACTTTTCGTCATCTACTCCATCTTTATTCCTCTAAGCTATTTCATAAAGGAGTTTTCTCCCTTATGGCCAAAAGTAAGAGAGTATTAGTTAGCCCTAAGGATGATAGAGATCGAGGCTGGTATGCTCGCTTCGTTGCTGCTCCCACTAGTGCCTTGGTGGGTGAAGAAAACATGCCTTTTCTAGAAAAATGGAATTTTGCACGTAAGTAGTTGCATATCTTTTTCCTTCCTAAAAAATTATTCTCATGTTCATCAACTATGGAAGATTTTGAGGAGATCTCTAACTTTCGTTCTTGGTTAGGAAAGTTGCTATCTGTTGCCCCTATGGAGAGAATATCTTGGAAGTATCTCTCACTGAGATTTGTGTGGAAAGTTAAGATATATGGTACTTTTTCCCGTTTAGTCTTTTTTTTTCTCTTTTGCCAACTTAAAAGTTTCTTACCATGAATCTTTCCTTTTGTTAGGATTTCCTATTCGTGGTGTCAGTCCCGCTTCTGTTTCATCTGACTTACGGTGAGTCTTGCTCAGAAAGAATTCTGAGCTCTTCCTCAAAGAGGAAGGTTGATGGAGCCCGTGGCTCTGAGGGAGAAGAAGAACCAGAAGAAGGTTCTTTAGTTCGTAGACCTCGAGTTAGGATGTGTGTTATTTCCGACGATGAAACTACCCCTCCTTCAAGCTCGGTTACTCCCAGGCCTTTAGATGAACCAGAAAATGCTCCATTACTGATTTCCGATGAAGAAGTGAATGATCCCTCATCTGCTTTTACTGAACAGCTTGTTTGTCCATGGCTTCGAAAGTGAAGATGCCTTTGAGCCCGTTTTTGAGGAGTTGCCCCTTACCTTTTTTCCACCGTCAGTTCACGATTATCCTCAAGTCCCCTTACCTAAAGTTGCTGCTGATAGCCCGTTTTTGAGGAGTTGCCCCTTACCTTTTTTCCACCGTCAGTTCACGATTATCCTCAAGTCCGCTTACCTGAAGTTGCTGCTGATGCTCCCCCGTGGCTGTTTTCACTTCATCTGTTATTTCAACTGCTACCACTTCCCACATGAAAGTTGATCCTTCTAGTAGTAAGAAGGCGATGAAGAAAATTGTTGTTGAAGTTCCTGAAGGTGGGAACTTATTGAAGAGGTCGGGCCAAGCCGACGTGTGGTTGAAGCATTTACTAGGCCCCATGGAGAAGGCAAAGTTAGAGAGTCACGGTTCTTTAACTTGGATGAATGATATTGTTCATTCATCTTTGAAGGTTCGAGTTTTGATTTTACTATTTCTTTTTTCCCTTTTTATTCTTCTAATAACCTCTTTTCTTCCTTCATAGATCAACTTGATAGGCACGGAACTCATAAAAGAATCGTTCATGCTGACTAACAAATTGCTGATTATCGTACCGTAGCTGACAATTGGAAAGAGCAGTTTGAAGGTCTTCAACCGGAGAGTTTGAAGGTCTTCAACCGGAGAAAGAGGTGTTGGCAGAGGAGAAGGATGCCTTAGAGCAACAAATGCATGTGATTGCTGCTGAATTAGCAATTGAAAAAGCTTCTTCAAGCCAAGTTGGTAAAGACAAGGATATCCTTGAATCTTCTTTTGCTGAGCAGCTTTCAAAGGCAACCGAAGGAGATATGGAGTTTGAGGGAACTCCTTAACCAGAAAGAGGCTTATTCAGGAGAGTTGGTTCAAACTTTAACTCAAACTCAAGAAGACCTCCGTGCCTCTGCCGATAAGGTTAAGTTCTTGGAAAGTACCCTTACTCCTTTGAAGGTAGCTTTTGATGTTTCTAAAATAGAAAAGGAGGAGTTGATGACTGAAATCGATCAGTGGGAGAGAGATTATAAGGCTCTCGAGGATAAGATGTCACTTGAAGTGAGTAGAGCTTTTTTGAATACTCGCCTCGAGACCTTAATGGAAGCTAGCCAGGAGGGTTTTGATCTCAATGCCGAGATTGCTAAAGTTAAAGAGGCAATCGAAAAAACTCAGCAGAGTCAAGATTTTCCTTCACAGAGATGGAATTCCCGAGGGTGATGAACTTGTTCCTGGTGAAGCTGCTATTCAAGCCTCTTCTTCCCAAGTTGATCTCCCTACCTCTGCCAATGATGCTCCCGTTGCTGATATTCCAGTGGATGATGCCTCCTAGTTTTTCTTGTTTTTTGATGGTTTTGTTTAGAACTTGTTGATGGGAAATTTCTCTTCTTCTTTTTTTCTTTTTTTTTTAAAAATCTTTTGGAATAGTGGTTGGTTTACCATTGTCTTGTTTTGGGGTTTGAAGACAAACATATGCCTTCTAATATATAAATTTCGGCTTTCTTTTTTGCCTATTGTGATGTTTGAGTTTTTGTTTCACCCTTTGACATTTAATTTTGCATTAAAAATGCTTTATTATTCCGTGATTTTGACGGACACGAAACTATAATAAAAGAGGGCTCTTTTATAAGCGACACTGATGAAGATGACGTCTCATCTTCATATTGGTGTGAATATATGAAAGAAGTATAAAAAAAAATAATTTGAGGAAGTTTTATTCTTTGAACTTTCAAACTTTGTACATCATTCTGTGTTTATGTAATACAACATTTACAACTCTTTCACAACTGTTTCAGTTATAAAAGGTTCAAAAACTTTGGGTTTATAGTCCCGTGACTAAAAACTCATAAGAACTTGGAGT